ATGGGAAGGCAGAGAGGATTAGGAGCTGGTTGAATGGACATGGGGAATCAGGGGTGGAAAGGAGGAGTGTGCTGTCACAGTATGGGGAGAGCAATTAGGGTCACATAACAATGTATGTATAAATTTTTGTATGGGGAAATTTTTTTTTTTTTTAAATATACTTATCCGCTTTGAATTAAAAAAAACTCAGTTTTGTGAAAACAGAAAGGTGATTAGACCCCAGGTACTGACTCAGGTAACCAAACACAAGAGACTGATGTATAAACCGGAATGCCAGTGCATTAAAATTTACCATAAGAAAATCACTGTTTAAGGAACTGGACCCTGAAGTTGACTGGTCGGTGTCTTATGCTTTCTTATATCTGATGTCCTGAACGCAGGACACGGCCCAGAGTCCATATTCAATAAATGTTTATGTTTATTGAAGATCAGACCCAAAGTGAGTTATTTCTATTTTCTTCATTTGCTCAATTTACTTTCTACTACAACTACAGTTTAAGAACTGAGAGCATTCTTCACTGGCCTTTTTTTTTTTGCTAGACAAACGCAGAGAAGAAGGAGGTTCCTCTGGGAATAACATAACTGCTTCTGAGGGCTGTACTTCACCAAACCAAAAACCAAACCCATTGCCATTGAGTCAAATTCTGACTCATAGTCGGATCCTGTGGGACACAGCAGAACTGCCCCAGAGGGTTTCCAAGGCTGTAAATCTTTAGGGAAGCAGACTGCCACATCTTTCTCCCACAGAGTAGCTGGTGGGTTCAAACCGCTGACCTTTCGATTAGCAGCCGAGTGCTTAACCACTGCACCACCAGGGCTCCTTTGTAGTCCTCCAGGGATTTCGAAAAGGTTTGTCTAAAGCAGAGCCCTGAGTCTTGGAGAGCTGATTGGAAGAAGCCCTTCCGAGCCATGCTGAATAACCAGTAGCATGTCTGTCTTATTACAGATTCCTCATGGTAAGAACCGCCTTTGTCTTGGTCCAGAAGCCGGTAATTTAGCCTCAGTGAAGGCCTCAGAACCAACTGAACAAAGGACTAGCAATAAGAACCAGACTAAGGTGTTTATCCTCTGAGTTCTGGGCAGTGAGTCTTGACTTGTGCTCAGCCTTCCCCATCAGCCTTAGCCGCTCTTCCTAGGCCAGAAAGATACAGCCAGATGACCATAGGTCCCTCCCACAAACGAGGGTTTCTGCTTTCCACCCGCTCTCTCCTGAAGGAGTAAATCACAGCACCTACTGGCCACAGTGCACTCAATAAATATGAATTTTACAGAAAGAGACCTGGGGCGAGTGGTATAAGTTTGCTGCCTGGAGTCATCTCAGTGATTACTTGTCAAATCAACTAACTCAAAAGCTTGACTATGTAGAATTTCTCTATTTTTGTGAGAAAAATAGCCCTGTACCACCAGTCTGAGGCCGTTGCCCTTCCTCTGTCTTAACAGCCTGTTGAACAGTTTGGAATTATTTAGTCTTCCACTGGACTGTGAGCTCCTTGAGGTAGGAATCGGCCTTTATTCATCCTGATATCATCAGCACCTAGTACATTGTCTGACATATTGAATGAAGTGGCTTAATAAATGCTTGTTGAGTAAATGGGATAATTAGCTGATACCTGTTAATGATTAAAAAAGCTACCCCTAGTGTATGCCTTGGGGTCACTCTTAATTCAGGTCTTCACATCTATAAAGCCACTCCAGCCCTTCCCACTTCTTTTGCCTGGCTGACTTCATCTTCAGGTATCATCTTCAACATCACTCTCCTCCATCCTCCTAGTCTTGGTTATGTGTCCCTTCTAAGTGCTCCCGTATAAATCCTGTGTCACCCTATCAAGTATACTGCATGGTAATCGCTTATTTGATCATCTGATTTGCTCATGATTGAATTTCTCAAAGGCAGGAGCAGAATCTTGATCAGGACTGTATCCCCAAGCACCTAGCACAACACTAACAGTTGTAATAACTACCATTTATTGAGCACTTACTATAATCCAGGTAGTGTGTGTTAAGGACTTTATGTTAATTGTCTCATTTCATCTTTGAGGTGGAGACTGTGTTGAGCTGCCCAGATCCCTTTCTAAGAAGGAGAGTCTTAGTCCCTAGCTGCTGAGAATGATACAGGAAGATCTCTCTCAGCTGTTAGTCCCCTTTGGGAATTGGCTCAGCTGAAGAAAATTACCTTTTCCAAGGTCACACCTCCTTCCAGGGGCAACCTGCATCCAATGACTGATTCGTTGTGGTGGTTAGTTGTTGTCAAGTTGGCTCTGACTCTTGGGGACCTTATGCATCACAGCCCAGTCCTGCACCATCCTCATGATTGTTGGTATTTTTGAGTCCATTGTTGCAGCTATTGTGTAGTGCCTTCCAACCCGGGGGACTCATCTTCCAGCATTATATCAAACAATATTCTGTTGTGATCCATAAGGTTTCCATTGGCTAATTTTTGGAAGTAGATTGCCAGGCCTTTCTTCCTTGTCTTATTCTAGAAGCTCCACTGAAACTCATCCACTGTGGGTGACCCTGCTGGTATTTGAAATACTGGTGACACAGCTTCCAGCATCCAAGCAGCATGCAAGCCATCACAGTACAACAAACTGGCAAACTGATGGTGGAATGACTGATCTACCAAAGGGTATAAAAGCCCAGCCCCTTTGTCCCAACTTGGGAGAGTTCTGAAGGGCAGTCCCTATAGGGTTGGCTGATAGCTTTCCTTGGGACTGCATCACAGCTCAACTCCCCCCTCTGCCCAATCCTGCTTCCTGCCCTCCCTTTTACAGGGAGCATTCCCTAATAAGCATCCTGCATGGTACCTTGTCTCGGCATTTGCTTCCTGGAACCAAACATAGGATAGTCTTCTCAACAACCTCACGATATAGGTTTGATTCTCCTTTTACAGGTGAAGAAACTAAGGTTTGGAGAAGTGAAGTAACTTGCTCAAAGTCACACAGCTCATGAGTAGCAATCAGACTCTAGAGCCCACACTGTTAACCAGGCACTAGATAAATATGATACATGAGCTGATTGTTTAGTCTCGTTAATCACCAAAGGAAACAAATTAAAAGCTGTAATTCAAAAACTCAGCTTTGTGCGCAGAATTTTTCTCAATGCTGGAGAAACAAGGGCAGCAGCAGGCTCTGCCATGGAAGATTACAGATCAACCCTGTGAATGGTGTTTAAGAGCCTGGCTGACTCACAGCACAGGTCACAGACGGGGCCTCTGGCC